GATCTGAGGGGATATGAGGACCTGCAGGGGAGCAGAAGCTCTTTAAAATGGGACTGTTCAAATTAACACATTTGAAAATGAGCTGAACCCACTTAAGTTCTAGACTCGTGAGTACACGGAGACAGTGGTGACCTCTATACAGACATTTCAATGCTTATCTACATCAAGAATTAAATATTGGCAGACAGTGTTTGCATAATTAGGAATCACTACTGAGAAATGATTCGTTTTCTGAATTGGAATGTAAAACAATGAAGACGTGACCTCCAGACAAGTCTAAGTAGTTTCTCGTAACAAAACCAATGTGAACTAATGTGTAGTGAATTCTGAATGCCAGTACATTAGATTCGTTGCATGTATTTTCATTTTTACCGCTCTAAGCCCTCCATAACTCACGTTAAATGCTGCATCCAGTTTGCTCACACTTTCGAGCAGTCATTACGCATTTCACTGCCGCCGCATGTAGCTTATAATACGAGCCATGAGTGTTACACTGGAATGGGACAGACCACCAAAGCCCTCCAAAATCGCAATTACTCAATTTCTTGGCTTCCCTTTTGTAGAGTATGGCAGCAATATTTAGAAAGTGGGATTTTATGTATGCAGGACTAAATGTTTTGAACCCGGCCACCTCTCTCTCTCTCTCTCTCTCTCTCTCTCTCTCTCTAAGCCACATCGCTGGGCTTTAGGAGGGTTGCAGGGGTGGGAATGTTGTTTTCAATCCCTGTCCTTTAATTATTTTTGCATATCATTTTGCACTGATCATTCTCCTGAGCATGTTAGTTGTCAGATGATGCAGGCAGACAAAGATCAGGATGTCAGAGATATCAGTGGTGTGTTCCAACCCCCAGAAGGCTGCTTTCTTAAGGAGCAGAGCAGCTTCCCTATTAAAGGTCTCCTACATAATCCTGGCATAAACAAAGGGATTAGCCTGACTGACACGTCTCTACGCGCTAAAATAATAACATCCAACTGCTTAATATGGGATTTTCAGATTGACAGTTTATGCCCTTGAAGAATTAGTTTAAATACATGCAGTGTTTAGTCCTGTTTGGCCACAAAAATCCTCCGATCGGGCCTTTAACCCATCTTTAAGCATGACATCGGAGTCTGGAGGCTTAAGTATAATCTGCTAAACAGAAACAGATCAATGGCAGGGGCTGAGCAGCGTTATTATTATATGAGCGTTTGCGTGTTTGCCAAGTGGCGGCTGGCAGCGCGGCCCGCGGAGCTCCTCGGTGCCCTTGACTGAGCAGCGGCCCTGGTTAGACTGGCACCTGCGGTGAGGAGGCCCCCGTCTGATCTGAACCACAACATCACCGCCGCCACCGCCGAGCTAATATCGGCTCAGTGTAGCTGGAGCCACCACAGACCCCCTTCGCTCTCCCTCTCCGTCTGCTGCTTTTCCCTTTCTCTGCATGTCTAATCTCTCTCTGTCCGCCTTTTACTTCTCACTTACAAGACGCCAGGCTCAATTGCAGGCCTTCGATGGCAGGATGCAGCGTCTTTCCCTGCTTACATTACAATACATCTAGCTTTAACTTGGCTCTGATTTAGTTTGTTGTCTGTCTCTGTTGTATTTGAGGGTTGTAATCAAAGAAAAACTGGTGCACTCCACCTGCTAGCCTTATTAGCTTTGATGAAATCTAAATCAACGTTGAAAGCAACTGTTTTTCTGCATTTTCCATCACGTGAACCTGATTTTTTTATACTGAAATGAGAAGAAATATATCAACCAGTGATCCAGCAGAAGACCTGTTGTGGAATAAAACACAGACAAGCTAGCTGCTGTTTTTAGGTGCTCTGCCGTGTTGGTTGTTGAGCTGTTTGCAAAGTTTACGCCAGACTTTTTGTCCGTCGCTTTGGGCAAAATTCAGCCACACCAGCTTTGGCATCAGTAAGTTTGATGCAAACTCTCTGAGTAAAGGTTTAGTTAACATTAAATAGGTTAAACCTAGCAGCCTTCATGAGGTCGGGTGAGTTCACAGGTACTTTGTTCCTTCCGGTGCCAAAAATAACAGATTAATCCAGGAAGGCTCTTGATGTAGTACTTTCCTCTGTATTGAATTAACTCTGGAGATCGTCCAACGAATGTACCTTATCTGTAATGAACCTTTTTCACAGCCCTTTTTTTTTTGCCTTACCACAGTAAGTAAGGCAAATAACTCCTTGCAATGTCTGGTCTTGGCTTTTTATTTAGCTATCGTTAACAGAATTAGTCATGCCGGTACTTCTCTTCTGTGGCAAGCGAAAAGCTCAACGTGCCATCTGTCTGGAAGAAAAGCAAACGAGTGAAATCAAAGACAGATATATTTAGTGAATTCAAATCGATTTCATCAATGTGGCATGTTTTAAAACCACCAGAGTTGACCGACGTGTGCAAAAATGCAAGAAAACGGATAAAAACTTGTAAAACAAACTCTCTCTATACAAAATACTACAATATTATGACCACAAAGAGCAACCAAAGGTCACTTAAAGCATATATTTACTGTGATTTCTCATTAAATGTCAATAAATTAGGGGCATTTGATTAAAAGAGGCTATTTCAGAGCTGCCTCTGCAAAGACATGAACTCCCTCACCCACCAGCCTCCATTGTGGAACAGTTAAGAGCCGCTTTTCTGAGTATCTGAGAGGCCAAGAGGTGCAGTAAGGGCAGAAAAGTTCAGAAACTTACCCCGCTGCCAACTCATGCGTGGCTTTATAAATGAAACCGGGTCGATTCACATCCAATCCTGTCAACACTTTCCCATGAGCGCGAGGTCCGAGTGCGAGCTGGACTGAACGTGGTTCACAGGCTGACACCACTCCAGCGTGACCCGTAGGTGTTCATCTGTTCTATTAGTTCCTCTTTAACACCTCGACAGGGCCTGACCTTTTTTTTTAGGGGGCGATTCTGAGGGTCACAGGTCAGGGTTCAGCCTCAGAACACATTAGCATAGAGCTTAAGAGTCCAGAAAGTTCCATGTGGTTTTGCGGGCCTTTGGTTTTGTGGATTTCGGAGCACGTGTTTATTCCTTGCGAGTATTTTACAAATACGCGGCAGGACGTTGTTATGTGAATGTGTCACCACGGCCTCGGTTGAAGCCCTGGGGCCGTGTGTTTTGAATTAATGGAACGTGATTTTAACGCGGTTGGTTACATTGCAGTGACAAAGCAAGGAAATAGGACTGGGAAATATTTATAAGTCCAGGTTTTCAGTGCACAAAAGGGCTTGGGAACAAGTGTCCAACTCGAGCGCAGCGCTGCCAAAGCCCGACTCTCCCACAGGGACTCTCTTGTAACCCCGGCCCGACCCCGTCACCTGACCCTGGACCTGCCCTCAGGTTCTACCCACTCAGGGCCGTGACCTCTTGGTCAAACACCATAGTGTGCCTGTCACCGGGTCGATGCCAGCCCCGGCCCTTTTCTCATCTGCCATTGTGCCAGATGACGTTAATTCCTCATCAGCTGGACGTGAAGGGAGCCACTTCAACAACAGACCCAGGGTCAGATTGCCCCCAGATTGCTGTGGCCGGTCCGTCGTTTGAAGGCCGCCGGACACCTGATGTGGCGACAGCAGCAGCAGCAGCAACGTGACCGAGACCAACTGCCGGGCCTATTTGTTCGTCTTTTGTGCCATTGTGTGAAATGGAGTGTAAATCACTTTCCCTCACAGTTTCTCTCTCCGTCTTGCTCGCTCTCTCTCTGCTCATCAGCCGTTCAGTCAATAAGGGCACGAGCTTTATTTAAACAAATCGGCAGATCAGGGGCAGATTGAGGAGGACTGATCCCCGAGCTGATCCACTCGGCTGGAGGAGAATACAGAGTCTTATCAGTGACTCGTACTCCTTCAGGAAGACTTAATAATATCTGACTTCACTGAGCTGCACCAAAGCAGATGTATTCTATTATAATCGTGTGTAAACGCTCTAAATATGTGCAGCAAGAGCAAAGTGTGGAATCACAAGCTTGGATCCTTTCTGTTCTGTGGCTGACTGGAATTATAGCTTCTCCTCAACCAGTCAGTACGTTTCAGGGGAAAATAACCTGCATGTTATTTGTTGATTAGCTAAATAGTTCTCATTGTACCTGTTAGCCGTAATACGTTATAAATCAATATGAAAAGTGAGTGTTTGCAGCATATTAAATCATTGGGATGTGGTTTATTTATACTGAGACGCAGAACAGCTGCACATATTCATCTGATTTCTGAAAACAGAACTAAATCAACTCGTGATCTGAGCACAGGAACTGTTGATGAATATAATACAGACATGTTAGCCTAACAGATAACAACAATGATAGTAATAATTTATATTAAACTTTTAAAAAAATGTATAAAAGGTTAAAAAAGTGCTTCAACCAATGAGGCAAATGCAGGAGACCTAGAAAGCAGAGGTAGTAAAAATAAAGAAAGAGTCAAGTTTAGGTAAGTTTTAAATACGTAGTGAATTTAAATCAACTGTCACTGAGCAAAAGCACCGTCCAATAGAGAAATAAGATTTACACAACAAATTTAAATATGAAGGTTAGACCCCAGGATACTGTTCCAGACGATCTGCCGTGTTGGTTGTTGGGCTGCTGCATGAAAAACTCACACTGGGCTTTTTGGAACAAAACGAAGCTACGCCGACGACTACTTTGACCTGTCAGCCTCCGTCAGGTTGGATCAGAGATGTAAAGAAATGTTTACAGGTCGTCTGGCTTCTGCTGCAGAAAAGCAGCAGATGAATTCTGGCAGGATGTCGATGCAGCGCTTTTCTACGTTTTTAAAGCAACACTGGCGACTGTCTGACCGATGAGAATGTAGTCAAATGAGAGCGAATCGACCTAAACGCTGCTGCTCTATTCGTTACGCAAGATAAAAGTAAATATTATGGAACCTGCGTATTTGGACTCAGCCGCCACGAAGTCCTTTATAAACTGTGTGCCGCACGTGCAGGATAAACGTGGAAATGTCAGTCTGCTGCCGTCCAGGTGGTTTGGATTGTAATTCTTTGTCTTTTCCTTTTGCAGATAAGGAAAGCCTGATCACGGAAAGTGGCAAACTCCACACTTTGGACATCCTGTTGAGTCGGCTAAAGGCCCAGGGACACAGAGTTCTCATCTACTCCCAGATGACGCGAATGATAGACCTGCTCGAGGTATAAACACTCTCGTATCTGTACACAAGATAGTTTAACCGTATCTCTTTCCCTTGTTCCCCTGATGAAATGCTTGTGCTCATTAGTAATCTTACCTTCACATTAATGCTGCGTGCAGATAACAAGCTGTTGAAACTGCACCGCAGCACATGACTCGGATCTGTCGATGTATTTGCATGCGTCCCCGTTGTTCCAGGAGAGCTGTTCAACTGGTCGGCCTCCACTGGCGAAGTATGGCGCTCTAATCAGCCTGCCTGTCCCTCGTTAGTGCGCTCATTAGACGGCTAATTAACAGGTCAGGACTAATTAGAGGGGTCTCATCTGCAGGGGGAGGCAGCCAGATGGGAGAGATGACTGGAAGTAGTGAGGAGGTGGAGGGAAGAAGGGGAGGTGGGAGTGGCAAGGGTCTCGGGGTTAGAAGAGAAAGAACGCATAAAATTGAAGACAAAGGTCATTGAGGGGAAAAGGATGGAACAAATAAAGGAAGATTAACACTAAAGTAGTTTCCGTCTGCACTGAGCTCAGTCTTCTTACGCTTGTGTGGGTGGAAGAAGTCCTCGAGCTGCTTGGGGAATAAATGCAGATATATCACCATATCATTTATTTAATTGTATTTTATGAACACAAGAGCTGGTTAGTTTCAATTTTAAAAAGTCGCTGCTCAAAATCAGAAGCATTTTCTTTGCTTTTAAGCTTCTTAGTTGGAGGTCAGGAGCTGTTTGGGTTAAAGAGCAACCCGTTGGCTGCTGGACTCAGAGTATTAGTGTCCTGGATAATGAAGCAGAAACTACATCTTTATTGAACATGGTCTATATGTAAACTACAGAAACATTTAGAGTCCATTTTACTTGCCTCAAAAAAAAACATAGCTTGGTGACAAAGTGCAGAGCAGCCGAGCTTGGTGCAGTTTAACAATATGAAATATGGATCCTAGCAGCTGTTTGGCACCGAAGAGGTTTGAAATGTGTATTGATATACATACGAAGGACCACAGGTTTATTATTAAGAGCCCGCTGGGTGTTAAAGTGACCAGCAGCAACCAGAACCAGAAGCTGCTGCTGGTGAAGGACCCAAACCTGCTGTCACTCCCACGCAGTCCCGACGTAGACGTTCCATCCAGAACTTCATCGTATTTCTGAGAACATACTCTGAAATGAGCACCACATACGACCACGTTTTCTGTTACAGAGGTTGAAGGGAAGGTCCTTCACCTGCACAAAATCTAATCTGTACACTAAAGCAGCACTGGAGTTACAAAACGTATGAATATTTCTAAAATGCAACTTGTTTAGCAAAAAACCAAACAACTTTCTGAATCACTGCATCTGAATTACTGCAGAGCACCGAGGCAGAGACGACTCCAGTGTCTGGTTTCTGTTTCTACAGTCGACTGACGTGATATGTTGGAGGAAAAAGGTTTTTTCAGTATTGCTCAAAATGCTGACTTTTAACGACTAAATTTCTGTGGTCATATTTCAGAAAATATATTAAATCACATATTTATAATTCAAATTGTAATTTACTAGAAATATTTGGTATAAATTTTGCAAAACAATTCAACCTGTAAGTTGTTCTTTAACCCTCTGAACCCTACAATGTGCTGCAGGTCCAAAAGGTGTTTCAAACATGACCAAAATGAGACCATTTGTCAGAGCCAGGAGCTGTAGAAACATAAAGAGTTGTTGGATTTGCAGGAGTAAGTGAACTAATCATATAAAAATACCCAAATCTAAACTTATGATTTTTGTTTAATACGTCGCCTCATTCGACATGTCTCATTCAAACATTTCCCCACATCTGTGTTGTTTGGAGCGCTGCTCTGTGTTTTTAGTTCATTAAATGTACAAAACACTGCATTATCCTTAAAACAATACAGAGAGGAGCAAGTTGTCAAGCTGTTGGCCGATACATTCAGCACGGTGAAGCATCTGTCTACGGAGAAGAGACAGAGAAGAAAGAAAAGAGTTTGTAAAAATATAAACAGTTAAATATCTGTTGTGTGTAGAGCCACCATTTTTTTCAGTGTTGGTGACACCAGTGGACACTCAGAGAAATTTAATTAAAGTTGTTCCTTTAATGATCTGTGGCATTCTATCTGTGTCGTGTTGCACAGAGGACAAGTTCTCTCTCCTTCTGTTCATGGTTGTGCTGTTTCCATGGAGGTGCAGGCCCACATTAAAGAAGAATGTGACAGCAACAACCAAACGCCCAGAACCTTCACGGGGTTCTGAGAGTTAAAGTTAAAACCTGCGTTGCTGGACCCTCTGTTGGAAAACAACGCGGGGCAGTTGTGACGGAGATCTCGTGTCGACAGCCTCGGCGCTGCTCTCCATTGTTGCCTCCATATTTGTTGCAAACATCACTATGGAGCCAAAAGCCTGTGACATGAGGTCACTGGGAATTCCTTCCCCCTTCACACAGTGCAGCGCCGCGTCCACGGCCAAATCTTTTGATGGCAGATGGACCCGGCCCAGGTGGTTAAGGACCGTCTTCCTGTGTGTCTGGAAAACAGTGGGAATGACTTGTGTTTGTGGCCGTAGGAAAGCAGCAGTGGTGAGAATGTTCTTCTCGGTCACCTATGATTTCCTGCTCCAGCGGGGCGGTGTTACTGCGCCTTGTGTGCGATTGTTTTCGAGTGACTTCATAATATAATAGTGGGGTTTAGGGTGCGACGGCATCTCCTCTGCTAATGGGCTAAAGACAACCGCAAATGAAATCATACATTCTCCCAATCTGGCTTCGGTTTCCTCCACCGTATTGTCTTTCTCGCTGGTCGGGGGTGGGGGGGGGAGCATAATTTCTGCAGATGGAGTTGATTTCCACAACATGTGACTTTAAGAGAAAGAGCAAACGAGAGGCTGATGCTAATCTCTGTCATTAGCATCATTGTTTTCGTCGCCGGTCGGCTGCCGGTTCTTCTGGTGACATCACGCCGTCGGGTGATGGATCGCCGAGGTCCGGGTGGCCTGAAGAAAAATAACACTGTTTGCTTTCTCTGGCAGCGGGCGATAGCGGAGCAGCACCGCCAAGTCACTGCCCTCCTGCCTGAGTTGTGTGTCTGCGGCTGCTTAGACGGCACTTTACTGCGCTGAGAGTCTGCGGCTTCCATTACAGCGTGGAGGGGAATACCCACTCTGACTTTCTGGTACCGCTGGCAGAGAGTCAAGACGTTTTATCAAGGAATTAAGGAATTAAACTTTCCTGTCAGCTCCTCCTGGTCATTATTAACCAACATGAAGCGGGATGCACCGGCCCATTAGTCAATAAAAGACATGGATTCAATTCGGATCACTCTCTTATACGTT